ATGTGGCCCTCGCCATACAGTAGTTACCAATTCTTTCTCGGCCTACTTTCCTCCTTCAGATTGTTGATCCAAGCGGGTCCCGAGTGAATCTCACCGCGACGAAAATGGAAATCGTGCTGAAGAAGGCTGAGGCGCGAGCCTGGTCCGCTCTGGAGACACATCCCCCGGCGAAACCTGATGAAGAGAAGGAGAAGGTGGAAAGCTAGGAGAGAAGGGAAGACACCCCGTCTGATCCTGTCTCCTGTGCTCTCGCGTTCTCCCGCTGCACCTTGCCATGCGCGCGCGGACCCACAGGCGCAGAAATGTTCCCGGTTTTGCCCTTTTTACAATTCCACACTCACTCACTTACTCACTCACTCACTCACTCCCAGTCAGCAATGTCTGCACACAGAGACACCAACCAACCCAACTCAATCCAGTGTATTGATATGCAGCATGTTGTGTTGTGCTTTCTTTATAATGACTCGTGTGGCATTGGAGGGATAAGCATACGCGTACTGTACGCACAGGGTTTCTACATGATAGATAGTATTGTTGGAAAGAAGACAAAGGCGCGCGATCACTGGCACAGCAATTACATTAGTCTGAGCTTAGGGTTTCACACAAGAGGCCATCGTCAGAGAACAGCAAACATTGGCACGTTTTTGTAGTCCAGCCGCGGGTAACTGGGGGTAGGGGAGGAGGTAGCATTCGTGATTGGTCCATGCTCACACCGTCCCACAGTATTGTCTCGGCGTGTGGCCTTGGCACCGTGTCGTGCGTCTTTGGCGTGGCGGCGTGCGTGCCTGGACACGAACTGGTCTGTGCTACTTGGTCGCGCGAATGGAGGGCAACATAACAGGGTGGTATATCCACATGCCGGTTGATGGAGCTGGAGTCTGACATCCAGACCTCCAGTAGTTCTCGCCCCGTCTTATTACTTGCTCGTGCCACTATCCGCGTGCCCGTGGAGTCAAATTCGCTGCCTTCTTCCAAAGAGTGGATAGTGATTTGGGGACAGTGGGTTGCCTTTTCGTACTGTCCGTTTGTGCTCCGTTATTCGCTAGCTATGTCGTCGTCCGGTCTGCCCTGTATAATGGCAAGAACAGTCGGGACATAGCACTTGATAAACGACGCCAGATAGTACTGTCATCCGCTAATGAAGGTTCGCCGATCGCTGACGGAACTCACTCTGGGCATTCCAGTATCTCCCTAGTCTTTGCTGGTAATGCTACCTGCCCGGACTACTAGCCGCTGTGCGGTTGGTAGACTTCTGATCAAAAGGTCGCGGGTTCGAGCCCCGGGTGGAGCATCACTTACGATTGGACATGACTGGCTGATGATGGCCAATGAGCCAGGAATGGCCATTCCAATCTCCCTCATCTTTCCCGGAAATGCTATCTGTAGAGTATTGTGCATCACTCTCACGCCCGATGGCCAAGCGCGATCTTGGCTACAGTTGGACATTTGACGCATCAGTTTACGGCAAAACTGCTGATGCGGATGTGAGCTCGAAATACGAGAGTAACCACCCTTTCGCTGACAGGTGGAGTACTGCTGACATGCTACTTAGTCGAGCCAAAAATCGTTGGTTTGACAACTAACCGTACCTAACTGAACTTGTTTATCTGTTCAAACCGTTTTCCAGAAATGGTTACCCTGGGGTGTTTGTGCTTCGACAGGAATGAAGACAAAAGGACAAGGACATGGCAAAGTCAATCCAAAACTCTGGAATAACCACATAAGGGCTATTCTACGAACAGTCAGTTCTACAATTATTAAGAAATATATGTGACAAAGACTCAGTTGGTTCCCGATAATTCTCTATGCATTTAATGGTAATATGAACTGCAGAATATAATCAAGGGAAAAATTTCCGAAGTTATTAAGTTCACAACATGAAGATAAGTGACCGGGACATGGCATTTAGTGTAGGATCCTGAATGGCAATGAACATTTGAGTCAACGAAAATAAACTGTGGAATACCCACGTCATGAAAATAAGTACTACTACAAGTGGTATAAATGATATATGAAATAGGCAGAAAAAGAATGCTATTACTTGTTGAAAAAGTAATGTAACATCTAAAAGTAATCATGAAGAGGAATTATCGAGGAATTAAGGGCGATATTGTTAACCCTAACGGCTGCGATCTCCCAGGTCCTGTTCCTTAGGAGTAGAGAGAAGCCACGTGAAGGCCAGGGTGGTAGGAAGAGTTTATTCTGTACAGAAGGATAGGAAGAATATGTAGGAGGATATTTGACTCGGAGGAGTGCAGTGTGTTCCCTAGTCGGGTCGGGTCCGGAATGATGTCTGGCGGCAGTCACCTCATTGAGGTCTGTGTCTAGATGGCTTGAGGCCAACCAACTAAATGAGGCTTGTATACTAACGCGGGAATCTCATTGGACGGACTGAGGTCAGGATATTGTTAAGTGAGGCCAGGACTGGGAGGCACGGTGCACACGTCGGACAGCGTCAGGTTGCGCCTGGTCCCCAGAGGTATGCCGAGAACTGCCTTCTCGCGGGGTCCTGTGCGCGGAGTGACCTCGACTGTGGCGTCATGTGTTTGGAGGGCGTCGGGCTGCATTCAAGCTTGAACCGACCACGTCAAATTACAAACAAGCAGGCTTGTAGGGTAGCTTTAGAGCACAGCTCTTATGTGACCATGTACTTATCAGAAATTTGGACTGCTACAACTATGGGAAATGATCATGCTTGATACGATACTTGCTTATTGACCACAGTTGGGCACTCTTCCGTGGATACTTTAACAAGTGTATTTGTTTTTGGCGTTCTCACGGTTCAGCCATTTTTTTGATAAATCAGTATTGTCTCAGAAAGCAGAGTTCGCCTGCGTTCTCTACACACGACCAGTTACTCAGTCTAGGCAACACTTTCTTAGCACTGAATATGCAGGGTGGAGGTCATTGCGCTAACAAGGAAACGTGTAGCGACTAGCTCCACACGAAGTGCACTTATCAACGCCTGTCGTGACCAGTTAAAGCCGAAGTGCACTTGTGAGCACCGTCCGCTGACTTGCGGTTGTGCGGTCGTCTGACAGTCAATTTCCTCTTGCCTGTTCTCTTCTTCCCTCTGTAAAGAATATACTCTTCCTACCTATCTGGCCTTCCCATGACTTCTCCCCCGAGAAACCTGGCCTGGAGATCGCAGTTTAACTTACCTAACTCCCTGCGATAAACATACCGGAGAATCATGCTGCGCGCAGCTAGCGAATCACGTGGTTTTACTTTAGCACGAGTATTTAGGGTGTTGGGTTGGCATGCCTCGCCGAATGATCTGTAACTTTAAAGTTACCGTCATTCCACCTCAGTGCTTCTGCATGCTCGGACGTTTGCGTTCGGAGGTGCTCTATTCGCAACGGGGCAAGTGCAATGTCAGGCGTTTTGTGCTGATGGTTTGTGGTCTAGTAAGCACAACTCCAAGTCAGAGTGGTGTAAAAAAACAGTTAACAGTTTCTGAGAGTGAGATCGAGGAGTCACCTTGTTTTCCTTTTAACGCAATTACCAGACACACCTCCAGCTGAGTGTGCGTTGTGTGTGAATTAGCTGGTGAGTGACACGGGGAGTCTAGGGACGCCGGTCCCTTATAATCTCCCTGTATTTTGGCGCGCATGTGTGTTGAGGGGACCAGATCGTGCTGTGGTGTGTGCAGACATGTTCGTCGGCACTCTCAGTCACTGCGCTCATCCCACAATAGGCATGCATATTAGTTTATGGTGCGTACAGAATGTGATTACATTTGCGTATCAGGTGGACTGCGGTTACTTTTGGAATGAATTCCAACTGCGCCTTACTGGCATCTCCCTCCTTGAGCTAGAATCGGCGCTCAAAAATAGATCTTCAGTATTTAGAAAAGACACACACTGGCCTTTGATTCACCAACCCCTACCCGTGCTTTATACACACACCGATTTATTGTTTTAACTCGGTCACTTACCTCGTTGTAATTACCGTACTCTGCGTCTTGGTGATCCACTACCAGATTATTTGTCCTACCTAACAACATAAAGACTCTTTGATGTACGGTGTGGTGGTGGTGTTGTACATGTGACAACAATGTGTTGGAACAGGTGGCCTTCCATTTTTTTTTTGCTGAACCAAGGTGCCGTGAACGTGGTCTCTATTTTGATGGTAATTTATTATAAAATATGTTGTGGGATGCAAAAGTTGCTAGCTAGCGTTATGAAAATATGCTGGAGTGTTCGACGTATCTGTTTGCAAGAGAGGGTATCCTGTTCATGAATCCTCTCTGACATGGTTTGAATTGCTAACGGACCAAACGGCAAATCACGAAATACTGACGAATTGTGGTTTGAGCAAGATCATATGACCCATTTGCGGACGGAAACCACTGAAAATAATGAGCTGCTTACGAAAATTTAAACTGTTTTGGTAGAATTGATATCTCATGTATATGTGTAGTTCTAGGCAGAAGGATATTACCAGCAAA